AGAGAAGAAGAAGAGAGAGAGAGAGAGAGAGAGAGAGAGTTGCCACAGACGATAAGATTTCCATTTCAACCGGATCATAAATAATTGCAATTCAAATGTGAAGGTGTTGTTGGTGAATTTTATCTCCATCATTTCCATGTAACTACATACAACAAATATGATTACATAATTCTTCATCTAATATCACAACAGTAGCAAAAAAAAAAATATCAAATCATCCTTATCTTATTTGTAATAATGTGTAATATGTGAATGAAAACTAGACAAACAAATATTAATTAGATAGTCGATGATCTATATAATGTTTTGCATCGTCCGAGGAGGATAAAATCCCAGTGATGCATTTTTCTTAAATTCATTTGTTGGAGTCTAAATTATAAACGATCACTCTATATTTTATTATTTGATCGCAGGCTGTTAGTCATATTAGGTTAATTATTTGCTCAAAGCACTTGTGGAAGCCTATTTTTCTTTTTGAAACCTAAGTTGTTTTTGTTGAATCTCGGATTTTGATGATTAAATCAATTGGTAAATTATTTGATCAAATCTATATATTGAGAAAAGTATGCAGGATTAATTATGATAGCGATCAAGACATAAAATAAAACAAAGTGTAGATCGAGATTTCATTGGGAGTTAGAGAATTCATCGAAAGTCCGAAGGTTCGTCGGAAATATTGCCAGAATTGACCGAGAAGAAGCTCGTCGGAACTCGCCAAGAAAATCATCATGAAGTACAGGAGTTTGCCAGAAGTTAGTTGGAAGAATACCGAGAGATCGTCAGAAGTCCGCTGGAAGATCGCCAGAAGCTCATCGGAAGAAACCTAGACTTACTGGGCTTGTTTTGTTTAGTGTATATCTTAAAAATTATAGTTAGTACATAATTAGGATTAGGTTTGGGAGATAATCTCATTAACTTTGTTAAGGGCCAATTGGGTCAGTAATTGGATTGGTTTGGCCGGATTCAAGGCCCAACCAGGTTGTTGGACCTTGTCTGACGGTGGCATCGCTAGACTGGGGTGTTGGAACCGCCTAGGGAATGGTCTCCCAAGTAGTCTGGGCGGTGGTACAACCTTGTTAGGTGGTGATATCGTCAAAGCTCAGCATTTAAGACTCTGTCAGACAGTAGCATCATCAAACTGGGTGATGGTACCGCCTAGTGTCAAAGTATCAAGCGATGGTATCACCCACCTGACAAGTCAGTGGTACCGAACCATTATAAATTCCGACGTGTTCTTTCCATTATGCTTGTTCTCTTTACTATACTTTACTTTACTTCATTGTAAACTGTTTAATCCTCTATTCTCTACTCACATGAAAACTTATTCGAGTCTTAGAATTTCGAACGAAGTTTTCTAAAATCATTAAAATTTATTATTTTTTATCCACTATAGTAATTCACCCACCCCTCTTAGTGTAGTTATTGCTCCTAATAGTTTTTTTTAAAAATTATTTAAGAAAAGTGGCTGATGGGCATTTTTATTTTTTTAGAATATAGCATATATATATATATTTTATCTTATCTAATGACTTGATTAATTAGATGAATTAATAAATGACTTGATAATTAGATGAATTGATAATTGTTGAAATTTTAATATCATATGAGAATAAGAGATTCAAAAAAATGTAATTATCTTTAATTTGCCAATTAATTTAGTTATAAAGCCTTTTATTGTCATTATGAGTTAAAACTTTCTGATAATTTTGTCTTCATCAAATTTGATGATCATTATCAAATTTCACCACAACCAAAATTTGCTTATTTTTTTTATTATATTTGTAATGCCATCAATCTAATCTACCGAAAAGTCGAAGGCGATATAATACTGCAATCTTATAGGTTTCTTTATAAAAATAAAATAAAAGGTCAAAAACCTAAACAAATAACTCCCATAGTATAATTATTACATAATTTAATTTATAATTAATCAACCCATAGGATATATATTATATATTCTAAATTGTAACCAATTCAAGTTCATGATATTTATAATTATTAAATAAACTGATTACATAATTCGAGTCCTAATCGGTCCACCATGCATTTGCTATGTAACTCTAAAAAAATTAAGAGATAGTCGTGCGAACAAATCACAAAATTTATTACAAATAAATAATTTTAAAAATTAAATTTTTATACATTTAAGATATATTTATAAATATCAGATATTTTCTTTATGCTCATATAATTTATAAAGTTTAAACTTTATATATATATATATATTTATTTTATTTAAAATCATAACTTAACATAAAATATTTAAATGTCAACAAGATTTCGACATGGCATATCCAAGCCACGTCAGGATGTGTAGGGAGACCGATTTGTATGCAGAAGAGGGGCAGAGAGGAAGAAAGGGAGAGAAGCGAAGCCAAAACAGGACACCGACTCGTGGGCGCACGCAGCGGAAGCGAGATGAAGGTGATGGTCGCCGTCAAGCGGGTCGTCGATTACGCTGTTAAGATCCGGGTGAAGCCCGACAAGGTACGATGTCCCTTCGCGACCACCACCCTCCATCTCTCAACCTAGGGTTCTGACGGGGGCCGCCGCCTTCCCAGAGCGGGGTCGAGACGAGCAACGTAAAGATGTCGATGAACCCCTTCTGCGAGATCGCCCTCGAGGAGGCCCTCCGCATCCGGGAGGCTGGCACCGCCGCCGAGGTCGTCGCCGTCTCCGTCGGCCCCGCCCAGTGTGTCGACACCCTTCGCACCGCCCTCGCCATGGGCGCCGACCGTGCCATCCACGTCGACGCCGGTGCGGCGCCGGTTCTCCCCCTCTCCGTGGCTAAGATTTTGAAGGCACTCGTCCAGGTGGAGCAGCCTGGGCTCTTGATCCTCGGCAAGCAGGTATCGGAATTGGATCCAAGCTTCTGTTATCTATCTTGAATCAAACCAATGTTGGGTTCTTGACACGTGGGGCCCGTTTAATTTCAATCTTTATTCCTATAATTAAAGATTAGAGAAGTGGAGTACTGTGTTCTTTCACTGTTTTGCTTGCCTTATGAATTAAAAGCGAATTTTTGCGTGTTCTTATTAGTGATTGTGGTATTAGAATTGCTATCTGTTTCAGGGCTAATATTCGGGTGAGAAAAATAACATCTTTGGTCTGCTTTTGATGTTAATTCTTGGATATTAGGAAATGGATGACCGTCTTTTTTACACTGTTTAGGTTGCCTTATGAACCAAAGATGAGACTTTGAGTGTTCTTGTTAGTGATCACTGTATTACGGTTGTTAATTGTATTGGGGATAATATTCTGATGAGAAAATAACACCAAGTTGTTCAGAGTGGCTTTGGGTGTTAATGTTATCTATATTTTAGTTAGTCATGAACTCTTAGCGGTTGGTATTTGATTGTTTTTCTCAAGTATTGCACATCACTTAACACGGCTAAAAGCATGGTTTTGAATATATGTCTGGTGCCAATATCTGTTATTGATTTGGACTGGTATGGTGCTGGTATACCAAGAAAATTCGCCAACTTGTATCTTTAGTATCACTAAAAAATAGTTGAAAAAATGAATACTGAGTGGTACCAAACTTAGTATATGTCTTGATTAAACTGGTAAATACTGAGCAGCACATACATATTTTAAATGGTACATACAACCATGGTAAAAAGTATAGTTCCTTGAGGTAGTACTTGTCAATCCCCCCAGTGATTATTGAGAAACAATAATTAGATGCCCATCATATAAATTTCAGCTTTATAAGACAACTTATGTAATCCAATTGAGTATATTTTATCAGTTAGAAATTCATACCATTTGATTAAACATAGAGTTCTGATTTTAGACCTTTGCAATTTTTTGGTGATCTATTAGGATTTTGGTTTAATTGAGGCTATTGAGAACTGAAACCGTAAATTTTACAAATAACGAACATGGATTTTCTTGTGAACATGACAAGGTTCTAGGTTGGCAGAATGTAGTAAAGGATGATCATTATGCTTATCCCAATTATCAGAATAGCTTCTAGCTTGTCCATTAATTTTACAAGTCTTGTTTGATATTTAATGTCTTCCCTCTATTGATTCTTTGTTCTGTAAAAGAACAATCATTCTATTGCTTGATGTTAGCATGACATGTACAAGCCTCATTCCTGTTTGGCTAGTCAGTGCCACCTAATATCATGATTTTTCTTGGTACTTGTAAAATTATTGCTCAGTACACTTATTCTAGTGCTATATTATCCAGACATTGCATGTATTTTTGAAATATTTTAAACTAATTAAACTTGTATTGTTTAGTTAAATCATTTATTGTTATTACATATTTGTGCAAAAAGTTTTAAGATGGATTTTTTCATCCTTGATCTAGCTAGTTGTGAAATGACTTTACTCTCTTTTGATAAGAGTTGTACTCTCTTGATTCATGTCTGAATATTGACCTTGTAATTACATGCATCAGGCAATTGATGATGACTGCAACCAAACAGGACAAATGATAGCTGGACTACTTAGATGGCCACAAGGAACTTTTGCTTCAAAGGTCAGGCATTATAACCCAGATATATACAAAGTGGTACTCTTCCGAGTTCCCAACTTATAACCATATTATGTGATATCCCAAATCCAGTTGATCTTCGACATGCATATATCAACAGAAATCCTGAGCAGATACAGTAGTCTTTATTAAAAAAAAAAAAAGTAATCCACTTGATGTATGTCTCAGTTATGAAACACAAGTTTGTAAAAAGCATGAAAGAAGTTTGAAGACTGTTCCAGGGCCTTGAGCTATATGGAACTTTGATGATTACTTGATCCTAAGAACCATATGGAAAAATGAGATTAAGCTGTAAAGCGGTTGTACACATTAATACACTGTCATACAATCATATAGATATTGAATGCTTGGTATGTCCTTTCACAGTTTCTTAAAGGTTTCTTCTTCTTTAATGAATAGAAGAGACAGAATGCACCAGCTAATATTTCCAATGAGCATAAGTTGAAATTCTTAATACATGTACAAACAGAGGAAGATCATTTGAACTCCACCACCCTCCAATTAAAATAATGGAACCAAAGCATGAGTCCTTGTGAAAGGAAACTGAAGGAAATTATTATTACTGAAATTTCAACATGAAGGAAAAACGAACACTAATCATAGATCAGGTGTTTTACCTTTTGATTAACCCACTGTTACTTGTGCTCCTTTTAGCTGCTCCTTTAGCACTTTAAGGCAAATACATGTTTGACTATGTTTCTCAGCTTTGAAAAGCGTGAATGGTCGCATAGAATTTGAGGATGTTGAGGTGGATCTATGCATATTTCTGTTGAAGCTAAGAAAGACAGGAGGCAAAAGACAGGGGAACAACTATATGAAATTCAAGTGTTTCATCTTTACATGTTTAGTTGTGATAATTATTTAGGCTGTATTGGTCCCCTTGTGCTAACAACGTCTCTTCTTTGGAGACTGGTTTTTAAATTTAATCCAGGGATTATAAAAAGGAGTGGTGCTAAGTAAGTCAAGTAATTGGAGAAGAAAATCATGTAATGGAAGCAGTTTTAGAAGTAGGAATGTTGATGTGACACACCGCTAAAGTTTGAGACTTGTTTCCATTGAAGTTCACTTTCTCTGAACTCAAGGAATGGTTTTGTTTTGGACTTTTCCTTACAATTGTTCTGCCAGTTGACATGTCATTATGGATCAAGCATTATTCTTTCATAGGACATGGGTTAAGAAGTTTTGAGTCATAAAAATGTTTATGTTGCTTATATTATATTGAAATAAAGTTCTTAATGAATAGTCATCTTTTGTAGTCTGGAAAACACATCTACTTCTCATGTTTGGGTTACTCTACTAGGAACCTTCAACATTACCATTATAAAATTTCTGAAGCAAAAACTGAAACAAGGAGAGTCATAAAGTTCTTTTCTGATGAGTGATGAGGCTTCCAAATTATATATGTCCGGTTACTTGAAATTGGAATTTAGAACCATCCTTCTTAAAAATATATACGGATCGCAAATTGAATTATTTTTGGTATGACATACGAGAGAATGCACCAAACTGCCTTGTTATTTATATTAATGAATCACATCCTCGGATTATATTTGAGAACCATTAAACCATACCTTGATTTATCTTTCTTTTACCCTGCACAAAATTGTACTGGAGTTATTTTTTCTTAGTGCAGATGATTTTTTGTTATATTTTATTAGATAACTGTTTCCGGCATCCATTCTATTTGTGTCTGGCATCACTAGACCATTGATCCAACTCTTGCAGAGTACCATGCTTATTCTTATTCTGTACTGGGATATTTATTTGCTTTTTTTTTCTTCTTAAGCTATTGTTTCTTGTTTCTTGATCTGTGTTCAGGGATTTTTTTTGGAGATGTTATATGTGGATAATATTTCTTTTTGCCAGAAGTTAATGTAATATTATTCAACCATCTTCATTGCTTTTTAGTAGGTTGTGCTGGATAAAGAAAAACAAGTAGCAACAGTGGAAAGAGAAGTGGATGGTGGTATTGAGACTCTATCTCTAGATTTGCCAGCAGTAATCACGTAATTTCTCATCTTTCTTTTAGCTGTTTTATTTCTTGGTTATAAGTTTTTGCCTTGATTTGCAGTCACTGGCATAATTTGGTATATACTTGAATAACAAATTCAATCAAAATCGAGAAGTTGTGTTCGAATTGGAATAATTTGGAACACACTTGGCTAACAAATTCAATCAAATTTAGACAAGTTGTGTTTGACTCGGCGCTGAGTTATCTATTCTCGTGTTCCTCCATTGCTGACTAGAGAATGGAACCCACTAACACGGTGATTGATTGTGTGATGGACCAATGTAGCTGCTATTAAATCTAGAAGCAGGTCGGACATCATAAACACTAAGAATTTTATCTTGATCAAGACTTGCTTTAGTGTGTACAAAGTTTGAATTTTCTGCCTCGATGCATCACATAAACTTGTGGAGTCTATATAGCACACCGTCTAACTTTGTTTTTCTTTAAAAAGATTTGTAAACATTATCTCAACTCGAAAAGGAGAAATAAGATTTAATTCTTATTCGGAAGTGGTATAAGGAGGAGCTTTTGTAAACATTGTTTGACTGTTTTTAGTTTGATTTCTTTGTCCAATCAGTTGGATTTTCTTCTTGCTTGACGCCGGACATGGTATCAATTTTGCAGAACGGATCTGAGGTTAAATCAGCCAAGATATGCAACTCTTCCCAACATAATGAAAGCGAAATCGAAGGTCATTAAAAAAGTTACACCTGCAGAGCTGAATGTGGAGCTGAAGCCAGATCTGGAGGTGGTTCAAGTCGCAGAACCTCCCAAAAGGAAAGCCGGTGTTATCGTCTCCTCCGTGGATGAGCTCATTCACAAGTTAAAGAATGAAGCTCGTATCCTGTAAGATGTTTGATTGTTCCATCTCCAAGTGATCCGAGGTAGAAACCTTTGTCGCCCTAACTGATCTCTATCAATCTTGCCTAAATCATACAAAATTCCAAGCATTTCAATGTAACCATTATCGCATCATCGAGCACAGAATAAGATTTACCTCTTGCTTAATACTATTTTAGTTTTGAAGCATTCTCTTTCAATTTACTTTTCTTGTTTCTCCCTTCCCAATATTTATGGTTTGAGAGCTAAGAATAATATAATATAAAAAAGGCATTTGGCTTGCAATGATAATTTAAAATCTCAACCCCTTCTTTTTATATTGCATTGGGATCTTTAAAACATAATATGCAGATTAAGATAATTTACAGAAATAATAAAATGATATATTATTTAGATTTAAATAATTTCGAGAAGTATTTAAAAGATTTTAAATTAGAAATACAATGACATGTCCTCTGGGTTTGATTTAAGAATTTTATAAAAATAAATAAATAATTTAGACTAGCCATTGTATATATATGATACACTAATTTTCGTCTCGATACTAAAAATAATGTATCATCGTATATTAAAAAATATTTTCTCTAGACCAAATTTTTATAATAGAATCCAAACTTATTTAGAAGGTCAAATGTTAAAAAATTTTGATGGATACATCATAATTTGGTCCAAATGGAAAAAAGACTTAAAGAAAATAGAAAAATGATATATTGTTCAGGTTTAAATAATTCAAAAAATAGCTAAAAAAATTTAAATTAGAAAAAAATAGTGACATATTCATACGGTTCTAATACATAGATTTCATTAAAATTTCAAATCTTGATATATGATATACTAATTTTGATTTTAACCCTAAAAATAGTGTATTACATATCAAGTCTATTTTTTTTTTGGACTAAATAGAAGCTCAGATATCAAAAAAATATTACATGAATGCAACTTATTTCAGTGAAAATAAAAAATAGATAAAATAGAAAAATACTTTGTTTTTCAAGGAGAAAGTATCATACATACTCTTATAACTTGAAAAAACTACTCTTTTATACACTAATATGCGATACAAATTGTTCATGTATATAATACAATAAATGTTCTTTTTTTTATATTTATAAACCTTTTCTCATTTGTACAATATTTACAAAAAAAATAAACGAAATTTTTTTGTACAATTTCAGAGTTCACAAACTCTTTAAGAAAGACATTGATATTTTCCATAAAATTGTGAGTCATTCAAAAGAGCTCCTACAATTTCTCATCGAAAATGCTTCATATGCTTTTTGTGAGAACGACACAAGTAATCCAAAAAGATAATTAATTATTCCTGAAACGCACAAAGATCATTAATTATATAATCGATGAATAAGAAAATGTGTATGCTATAGAATTCTATCATCGGGAGAAAACATGAGGGGGCATATGTTGTTGTCTTTCCAAATTACTTCATATGATAAGAAGCTATAACATCAAATAAATAAAATAATTTGATCACCTTCCTTATATCTAATAAACATTTGTTAAGCATATTATATATAATCAAACTATAAGTAAAAATTATCATGTAACTCATGACAATGCCTTCAACTTGCATATAATTATTATTGCTTCTTTCTGTCTAGAAATTTCATCTCTTGTAATACTCTATAAGATCAAATAAATTCACTTTAGACATTCTCTTTCCAAAGTATCTTATAAAAACTATTAATAATGTACCTTCAAAACTTTAGCCATCTCCTTAAATCAATATTCTTCCTAGATTTTTTGCTTTCATTATTGAGATCCAAGATGATGGCGGGCTCTACCTCCTTCTCCTTCTCCTCTAACTTTTTCTTTATCATCTCCTTCTCCTCGTAGGTTGTGGACCTATTTAAAAGGTTAAATATCACTTGCATGGATCCATCTTAATCAGTGAAAATAGAAAAATAACACACTATTTAGATGTTGAAAAAAATAAAAAAAAAATAGTGACTTACGTCCATCTTCTTAATTCAAAGCTTTTAAGACAATTTCAAATGATTTTGGACTAGTCCTTATATGTGATACAATAGTTTTGATCTGACCCAAAAAGTAGTTTATCATCTATCAGGACTTATATTTTATTTATAAATTATTTTATTATAAATTATCCACCTTTTAGAAGGTCAAATGTTAGAAAACATTGTGTTGATCCATCTTAATTTAGTGGAAATAACAAAAGCAAGGATAAAATAATAAAAAAAAGGACACATTATTTAGATGCTAACAAAATAAAAAAAAAATTCTAAATTAAGAAAACATGACTTATTTCCATCTTAATCTAATTCAAATTTAAAAAGTTTTGATCTAACCCGAAAAATAATGTATCATATTACCAGGACTTGTATTTTCTATACAAAAATTTATCATACATTGTTCACCTATTTAGAAGGTCAAATCTTAGAAAATATTATATTTGTCTATCTTAATACAGTGGAAATAGTAAAAACAAGGAGAAAATTTTAAAAAAATGACATAGAATTTAGACACTAAAAAATTTTAAAATATCAAAATTCTCTATATTACTAAAATAGTGGTCCAATTCCAAGCTTTCAAAAAAAACTTTAAACGAATTGGACTCATAAAAATCTTGATATGCAATATACTATTTTTGATCTGACCCACCCCAAAAATAATTTATCATATACCATGACTTATATTTTTTACATATATTTTTTTTATATAAGTTATCCACCTATTTAGAAGGTCAAACATTAAAAAAAAAAACATTACATAGATCTATCATAATTCGGTGAAAATAAAAAAAATGACTAAAAAAATTGATATGGAAGTGTGTTTGGGTGTATTTCATGAAAGTTTCAAATGATTTGGACTAGTCTTAACATACGATATAATGTTTTTGAGTTGACCCCAAAAATAGAATATCGTGTATCAAAACATATATTTTCTAGGCTAATTTTTTATCATAAGGTATGGACCTATTTAGAAAGTTAAATGTTAGAAAATATTATATGGATCCATCTTAATTCGATGTGTATGATTGTGTTTAATTACTTTAGAGGGAAAGAGTATAATACAAGTTAGGGAGACTTCTTGTTTTATCCAAACAACATTTGAACAATGTGCATGCTAACTCTTGTATTTAGATACATGAAAAAAATATGAGTGTAACTTCTTATTTTGAAGTTAATAATAGAATATTCATCATATAAAACCTATAAATTATAATACATATAAATCCTACCAAATTAACCAAAGATATCAAAAGATAAATCCTAGAAAGTTAATAAGTAACCCTTACTATAACTAGACGGTGAGAAACACTATAACCCTAGAAGCCTAAACCAATGAGATAGATGTATTGGAACTTGACTCCCCTTGGTGACAATTGAAACCCTAAACCCTTCGACATAGGACTAAAGATGGAACATTGATAGAGATTCTTATAAGAAAACTTATGCCAATTACGCATTAGTGCTCTATTTTACATTAACGTAGTTTCTTTTTAGAACAAACAAAAATGCTTGAAAATGAAAGAAAGAGTGATAGTGAATTGCATGAAGAAGATAGCACAGAGCTATCAATCAGTAATGAAGATAGCATAGAGCTATCTGCCAACAAGTCTTCCATCCATGAGAAAAATATCACCAACGAGAAGCCGACTGTGCATGGAAGTAGAAAGAGTCAATTGCTTGTTCACACGTGCGGAGGTATCGCTAATAATAATAATTATTTTTGCTTATTATTTTTATATTCCTCTCTTTCTGTTACTTTATTATCTAGAAAAATAATTGGCTACAAGTAGTCCTACATGCGGCTTGTCATATTTGGATTCACCCAAGCAATCATACAATCAAATAAGAACAGCAAATGGAGTTCAACGAAGAAGAAGATGGATTGGTTTGGAAGAATATTGAACTCACACTGTGTTCACGTCACAGAAGATGTGAAACGTCCACAAAGAAATAGCTCCACTTGTAGGAGGAAATCATGTCGAACAACACATCCTACGAAGGAAGCAAGCTCGATTCCAAGCCACTGAGAGAGCATCCACCACCGCCACACATAACGAAATGGCAGCGGCGGTTGACTACGACAGGTCGGAGGAGCTGAAGGAATTCGACGGCACCAAGGGGCTCGTCGACGCTGGCGTCACTAAGCTCCCTAGAATCATCTTCATCCACTCGCCGGACGTCCTCGCGGGCCTGTGCGCCCACCGGTCTCCGAGTCCCCGTCATCGACCAAGCACGCGGACCCGTCGCTCCTGAAGTTGCTGGTGGAGGACGAGCTCGGCGGCCGCAAGGTGCTTCACCAGGACCAGTGGGTGGACGTGTCGCCGATCCCAGGAGCAGTAGCAGTCAACATGGGCGATCTCCTGCAGGTATCTAAAATCTGACTGCTTACTACTTGAATTGGACTTCTTCATTCGCCTGCTTTGATGGGTTCTGTAGCTCATCAGCAATGGGAAGTTGAAGAGCGTGGAACAGTTTTGATAAGAATAATTCAAATAATTAGGATTAGATAAAATAAAAAATTAAAATCTATATTAAAATAAATAGATGATAGTGAGAATATTTATTGAGATATGATAAATTATTTTATTATTTTAAAAATTATACTCTATCTTTTGATCAATATAAATAGGTATTTTTGGATCAATCCAATACTCCTACATTTTTCTACTATTCTCTTTTTTTTCTCCTTGAATTTTTATAGAAAAACCAGCATAACAAATATAGTATGAGTCTGATTCGAAGAAATTGAGTGCATCTATCATAAAATATTTTCAACGACATAATAATTAAGTCTATCACATTAAGTCATGAGATGAAATTTCATAGTCATAAAACTTGATTTGTAATATCAAAATACACCATAAATTTAATTTTTATTATTAAATAAAAAAATAGATAAAAAAGGTAGATATTGAAATAAGTATTTCTAATTTAATTTTTCTTATCTTCAAAAGTGATAATTATTAATTTTGGACTATTAACATGAAAATTTTATTTATTTCATAAATATTATAGAATTTAGTAAAAGATGATTTTATTGAGTATGATCTACAAGATCCTAATATTACTGAGGATCAAAAAAATCAAATGAATAAAAATATGTAAAAGGATGCAATAGTTCTCTTCAT